GGGGAAACACATGCTGAAAGGGTTGATTGGTTACTAAAAACAAAAATGGACCCCAAGCCCTCTCCTTTCCCTGCCACTAGTAGACAGGAGAGGCAGCCATAGCTTATGGGTTGTAATTCCTATATCCTGGTGGGATGGAGACAAAAGAACCCTGCTGCTAAGGGAAGTTCATCTGTGTGCGTTATAGAACTCCCATCTTTGGAGGGGGGCAGCTTTACCTTGTCCCTGAAGACTGGCTTAGTGAGCAGCCAGAATGTGGGTTCACATGCCCTAGGCCACCAGCTTTCTAATCTGCATGGGCCCCTCTGAAAAATAATAGTGGTCTTGAAGGTACTATGCCAGCAAATTAATTTGCACTCCGTTGCCATTGGCAGCAACAGCAAAATCTGCACCAGAATTTATGTTCAGTGAACCTGAATAATGTAAAATACTGCTAGATAATATACAGTGTTTCCCTGCAGCTATAGTATGTAGGCTGCTTGCTTTTCTCTTTGACACTGTGAAGATTTAGGGGGTGACAATGAAAAATACTGTTTATGGACCAGATTTTTAAACAGCAACCTCCCTTTTTGTACCTGCAATCATGTCCAAGTATAATTTTGGTCAGATTGATATAAGGCTGTTTACTTGAGAGACAGAGTTCCCTAATGGCTAGGACTGTGGACTGAGAACCTCAGACTGAGGTTCTGCCACTGGTTTGCTGAGTGACCTTAGGGAAATCATGCCGTTGTACAGTGCCTCAGTTTCCCCAACTGTAAAGTAGTGATAATGATACTGACGTCCTATGAAGGTATAGATCCTCATTACTACTCAAATTTTACTTACACCATCTGCCCACTACTATTCTGAAGGTGTAAAAGGGAGGTCTGGTTAAGTTTTGGTTGAAAATCAGGTGCTATATTTTTAATTTCCAGACAATCGTCTCCCTTTGTTGCCTGGGGTTGGTGTATTAATGTGATGAATCACTATGAGGAATGCCAGCCTGGCATGTAGGAGCTGATGTAAGGGAGCTGATCATTGGGAAATTCAAATCAATGTAGTTTACTGAAAGCTCCAGTGGAAAAGAGCATGGTTTCTAGGTTAACCACCTTTGATCTATTTCATCCTTTAAAAAAAAAAATTGTTAATTTTTATCTTTCCACTACTCTGAATTACCACCCAGTCAGAGATAATTTTTAACTTCTAGCCACTGACTCATGCAGGTCACAGGCACTTTCCCTTCTGTATGTATTTGGAGGTCAGTATCACTATTATGCTTATACTGCATATGAATTGACTTTGTCCGTACCATGCTAAAAGAGTTATGTGACATTATAGCTTTGCTTTACAGGGTATTCTACAGTCCATTTTCTTGGTTCATGTGCATTCATGACTCTTGAATAGCATAATACATTTAAAGATCCAAATCAAATAAACAGAAATCAGCTGAAATGATCAAGCTTCAGATGTTTTAAGTTTCAGAATATCTCTAACAATTTTCATGCAAAACTGTAGTTCATGTAAATTAACATAGCTCCAAGGAGACCAGTGGGTCATAACGAGTCAGATTTGATTACTTGAATGGAGCTATGCCTATTTCACATAATCTGAGGATTTGGCCCATAATTTTGACCCAGATATTGTGAGTATTAGTAACCTCAGCCCAATTGTTGTTTTTTTCCATAGGCAAAACATCCAGGGCAGACATGGTTTAATTAGTCCCACGTTTATTTCATCACATACAATAGAAGATAGAGATGGAATAAAACCATAAAGGCACTAATCAAACTCACGTATATTAATGCAGGATATTTCCTTACATTGTTCCCATTGGCATAATAGTGAAATTCCTAAATGCTGTAGGAAAAAATCCCTTTGACTTCAAACATGTATGTTGACAAGGACTGCAGAATCAGGCCTTTCTTGAACCCCTCCTGTGTTAGCACGTTCACTGTCTCCATTGGCAAACACTGCGTATTAGTGTCAAATGTGTCAGTGAAGAATATTTGCTCCCCACCTCCTCCCCCTTTTCAATTTTCAAGACCCAATCCTCAAATCAGTCCACTCAACTGACTGCTGTTGGCTTCAGTTGCAGTGGTGGCAGGCCAGTTTTAGTGCCTGCAGCTTGTGTGTGTTGGGGCTGCACACTGCACTTTGAAATGGAAGGCAGCCTCTCTCCTGAGAGGGGTGGCAGCTGCCATTTTGTGTTCAGCTACAGCATGCACACTGCGCTTTCACTTATGGGTTTATTTGTTCAGTTCAGTTTAACAAAGATTATTCTAACTGGAAGTATATGAAAAATAATCCAGGTGAGCCTGATTTAAGTGACGTGAAGGAGAGCACTACCCCAAGGACTCAATGTTGAACTGAGTGGTTGAACTAGCTTTCTAAAGTTTGGCATAAACAAAGCAGTTTCCTATTGTTGTGATTTTTGAGCTTTCTCCAGGCTGCCCTGGAAATGAGCTTTACTCTGCACAAGGTGGCTCTATGCAGACAATGTCTGAACCAGCTCACACATCCTGGGGGCTTTTCAGTTAGTATTTCCCTCTCACCCCCCCCCCCCCCCCCGCAAGGCTCCGCCCCCCCCCCCCCCCCCCCCACCCGGAGAGTGTGCCTGTCCACTATTGCCTTGGGGGTCACATCCATTTTACACGGACTGGGAGAATTGTTTAATACATCATCACTGGCCACAGGCACTTCACCTTGCATATATAGTTTGGAGTTGAGGGCTGTAAGGGTACATATACACAGCAACATTCTTTTGAAATAACTAGCGTTATTTCGAAATAACTTGGTCCATGTCTACACAGCAGGCAGTTACTTCGAAATAACGTTGAAATATTGTCAGGCTGGAGGACTTCTTACTCCAACAATCCTTATTGTACAAGGAGTAAGGGAAGTCGGAGGAAGAGTGCTCTATTTCAAAATAAGTGCTGTGTAGATGCTCCCAATTTCAAAGTATGCTATGCAATTGACGTAGCTCAATTTGCATAGCTTATTTCAAGTTAAGCCCTTCTGTGTAGATGCACCCAAAGAGAATGCTTAACTCTCTCCTTGCCAGCCTTTGGGCTGGGCTGGTCCAGTTCTCCTCATTGCAGAACCAAATCTTCAGCTTCATTATTTTTTGCTTTACCTCTTTCAAAGTGCTGTGAAAAGCCAGTTTCCTGCCTTAGTAGTGGTTTATTAACTCCTTCAGCCAGTGCAGTGTTTTCCACATTTTTCCCTCACCCTTTGTCGTCTCTTTTCCCCACAGAATATGACCTGAGGTCCATCTGTTTCTTTTGTAATATGTTCCAGTTTTACATAAGTAAGTAATAAAAAAAAAAAGGCCAACTGCAGGCCAAATTTAAGCTTCTTATAGAATGACCAAAGTCAGTAAGATCTGTTCTGTATCTGAGAGTAGAATTTGTTCCACATATTTGTGTATGTTATGTATTGATCATGCTTATCTGCTCTTGGATCACATTTAGTGATCTTTAATCAATCTAATTAGTTTTCGTCAGTAATTGCACAGCAATTTGGCATTTTATTCCAAAGAACTGGAGCAGGAACAGCTAGTCCTCCGTGGCAATTGTTACAAATGATCATTCAGGATCTGCAGTGTGAAAGTCTGACTCTGTGAACTGTAGTGGCTCATTTGAAATTGTACCACAGAGATTTGGGGAAAGGAACTTTTTCCTCATGCACACAAACCCAGCAGTCATTACCTAGTGACACTTTCCTTCGAAAAATAACAGCATACTAAAAAATCTGTTAGAGTTCAGAGAAATTACAGGTCATAAAGTACATCCTAAATAAATGATTCCTTTTTGGTTGTCTTCCATCTCTGCTGTTTTACAGTTAAGTACAAATTTTTTCCATCATACCAGAGACTTCTCATAAGCTTAAAAAACAGGTCCAAATTTTCAGAATTGCATACAGAATTTGCACATGCAGTTATGATAACTGTACCTGAAAGTCATATATACACTTTTGCACAAGTGCCATTTTGAAAACTTGTACTGTGATTTCCTTTACTATTTCTTCTTTGTATTACCTGGCTGGCACCTAGAGGTCCCAACCAAGCAACCAAGAATGGCCCACTGGCTCCATTATATAGCAGCTATACAAACCCAGAGTAAGAGAGAGGTGCTGCTCAAACTTATTTTGTCTTATGGTGCAGTTGGTCCCACCTTCAAATCCTATGCAAAACCTCAGGAACGTGACATACATGGTACTTTTACTTTTGGGATTTGTATGATGATCTAGTGGTTAATAGACTGAGATTCAGGAAACCTGGGTTCAGTTCCTGGTTCTCCTACTTACTTCTTGTGTGAATGTGCATAAGGTTAATGTGTGCCTTAGTTTCCCCATCTGTAACATGGGGATGGTATTTCTCTGCTTTGTAGGAGTGTTAGGAAATAAAATCCATGAAGGACTGAGGAGTTCTTTGGTGATGAGTCACAAAAATACCTCCACAGAGCAGTGAACTTAAACCACAGGAAGATCTCCGCAGGAAATGGTAATATTAGCATTGCAGCCGGGAGGTCTGAGGTGGGCCCTACTCTCTGGAGGTCAGATCTAAACAACTAAAGTAGATACTGAGGGTGGCCAAACAAATATTCTTGATCTGAGAAAAAGTTAAGCAAACACAGAGGGCAGGTGAAGAGCAACTTTTTGTTGTTGTTGATGTACGGTTGCAATATCACTTTTTAAAAAACACTCTTT